AAGGGGTTCAAGAGCGAATTCTTTCCCAAAATTTGAAAAAATAGTTTAAATTTCTGTGACTAGACAACAAGAAGTACATTTTATATCGCCACAAACAGTCGAGGCGATGTCTGGAGGCATGGAATGAGCCCATCCGCACAGACCACTGGTAGAGATCAGGGGACGGGCTTTTACAACCGTCCCGACACCTCCCCGTCTGACTGCGACGTCATCAGCTTCATCTCACGCAATTACACGAAGAAAACAATGGAATGTAAGCAAACAGTGTAAAGAATAACAATAACCCTTACCTCATTACAGGTGTAAATGCGCCCAAATCCTCCAGTTGCGAACTGCCGTCCGACACAATACTGCTTCTTCGTGCTCAAGTCTGAGATAATTGTCTTAAATGGTAGTTCAACAGCCAGCTGATGCAATTTGCCTTTGGCCACACGCTTTGGTGGCATCCCTGAAAAAGAGAAATGTGAAAATGGCATTCGCCATGCAGAATATATAGGACGGTTTTATCGAAAACTCACAAGCATACATTTCGAGCCAGCAATTAATGCAAGAGCTGAGAAATAATCGATATTAAGCTGAGCTTATCGGCGACATTTCATGACGCCTGCTGATTCATGGAGGAGGAGTCATACTAAGGCGGCTGAGGAACGACGTGGGGTTTTAAGGGGGCTGACCGATCGCTGAAGACGCTACGGACCGCTTTCCGGACACTGCACAGGGGGAGGAGCTCACCTGACCATAAGTCTGACGCACTGACCACATAGTGTGACTCACTGGTCGTACAGTTTGAAACTATCATGCGCTGAGCTCACTCGGCCCCTATATTTCCTTCCTTGTAAGCTGTGTTTCACGCACAATTATGGATAAATGATGATATTAGATGAAGTTCCATCATTCATTGACGCTCATTACTACGGGTTCATGGTTCACTGATGCTAATTAGACCAGTTACGATATACCATGACGTAATATAACCTCATGATATGCCATTAAAGTAGGAGGAACGGGGAAAACTATGGGGGTAGGTGAACATTTCTCATGAAACGTGAAAGCCTTTTGTGTAGAGGCCCAGATTTGCCAAGACGGGGCTGGTCCCTCTTCTGGATTTACGCAAAAGTCCTAAAACACTCAATACATTGAACACTCACGAAAATAAAAAAAACAGATGCTGTAGACAGGGGAACGTGATCATTACGTCATTCACGTGTCATGACCATGCGCACTTCACTGCGGCTGCGTTCATACTTTGCGTCACGTTTTAAGCGTGCGGCAGCGTTTGAGGGATTAGGAAAGTACAGATATCGACTGAGCGTTTTGAGCACGACAGCGTTTTCAGCGACTGCCCGAAGAAGCGCTCAGAACGCTGGCGATATCTTTCTTAGTCGGCCAAAACGCTGCTGTACGCTCAAAACTCTGATGCAACGTGTGAACGTGGCCCAAGTATTGGAGTGCAGACCGATACCGGAATATTGCCTGTAATTCAACTGTTGCGGCGGCTCAGTCCATAAGGCAATCTCACCCCTTTTCCCTCCTCTAACTAGGAGCCATTACGGCTCTGATAAGCGATTGGCCGATAACGCGAATATGCAGTCAGCGTGGTTTAGTGCGCTATCAAAGAAGCGGCGCTTGGAGCGTCCCACTACGCACCAGAAAAAGTTCTACACCCCGTCAACGATCGGAGATCAGTGAACGCAGCCGTATTCATAAAGGTTTCGAAACCCAATGGAACGGAGTCCCTATGAGATTTGATCATGACCGCTGAACCAAAATAATTAGCGACTGGATTACACAGGATGTCAAAAGTTGACCTGAAGCCGCGGGGACCCACGTCTGGCTGCGAATTAAAAAAACGCACCATATCTTACCAACGCACGAGTATATTTATTGAAATAGACAACATTTTGAAAGTGATTAAAGGACCCAAACACAAGGAATTTCTTACCGAAGCCCAACCAGAGTTTTCCTGAACCCCAGTGAAGTCTCAATTTCCCAGATTACCACTAAACTCATCATTCATATCGAAACCCATAAGATTTGCACGAAATAGATTCTATCGCAGAAGAAGGATAGAAGGTAAACAAGACAACATTGCCGGCGATTAATTACGAATATCACGAAAAATTTGAATAGCCGCGCCAATGTCTGTAGTTGCAGCTTCTGCGCACACAGCTGACGCCACCCCTCTATTGCTTTCAGGAAATCCGTGGTTTTATTCGTCCCCTTCGTGTTTTTCGCCAGGGAGTTATTTCCAGTGACGAAACTTGTGCTTTTTCTCTCTCGGTATCAAAAGAATAGTGAAACCCAAAGATCATGAAACACCCTGTTACGGGCACTACTGTGAGGGAAGCAAAACAGAACTTTAACAAAAAAGGCTGGAACGTAACCTGTTTTCTTGCGTTCAGTTGAAAGTGAATTTGAGCGGAAAATTCCAAAAAAAAGGAAAAAGTGACTGAGCGCACAGTTTCATAACAATGAACTGTGGCGCTCAGCACTTTTTCTCCACTGAAAGCGTCGCGTTCGTACACTCGCGCCAGTGAAGAATCGGAGAACTTTTGGAAAGCTACGAACCGACTCGTCAACATCGCCCAAGATGAGAGTTGATTAGGGAAAAGTCCCCTGTTTTCTGATTCTCCACTTTGCCCTGCTCTGACGAAAGCCAAAAGAAGTGGGGAACCTTTCTGGACTTTTCTCAATGCCCAGTGGAGCTCAAGCATCACTGAATGTCTGCGAGCTCAGAAGATTCCGAAAGGTAGCAAAATGATACCGATTCGGAAGCGAAAAACAGGGAATCGTACAATCAATGAAAGGTTTAAATACGTCTCGACCTGGCTGACTCATCACAGCGCTGTTCCTCGGACCAGGGCAACTCTTTCGACAGCAGGGCACATCATTGGTTGGGGATTTTGGTCGAACCCGTAACCCCCTCCGGGCCCCCCTGTTCCTCCTCGTCGAATCGAGCCGTCGAGGAGGAACAGGGGGTCCGGTGGGGTTTAGTGTAGTACGCATGAAACAGGAAAAATCATGGAGAAGATCAACCACCACTCCCACCACTCCTAGAAAGGCCAGAAAGTAAGTACGACCTACTCCTCCAGCCAACAATGAGCAAGTATGGACAGGGTACAGCATGAGGATAGGCGAAATGTCGGTGAGAGTACGACCCCCCCCCCCCACCCTTCGACACCTTCTTCGCCAATCGCCGAGCCATAAGTATATAAGTCGGCGAAAAGAGTTGTTCGGAGGGGGGGGGCAGGGCGGAGGGGTGATACAATTTAATTATGCAACGTATATCCGGCGGGTGTACAGGGTGCATATAATGCATATAAAACGAAAATTAATACGACCCCCCACCCACTTTTCCACAAGATAAAATCAATAAAATCAACTATCAAAATAAATTTGTCTCCAACAAATACGAATATGACCCCCCTCCCCCAAGCAAAAGTTACGACCCCCCCCCCTTGTTTTCAGCACAACGATGCTGTGCGCTGAGTTACGACCCCCCTCCCCTTTTTTTATACAACAGCAATGGCGCGAGAAAAATCAACTATCAAAATAAATTTTTCTCAGCCCAAATACGACCCCTCTCCTCTCCTGGCTGCCAAATACGACCTCTGTTGGGGATTCCCCAACAACAATGTGCCTGCTCGAAAGAGACTAGCAAGACAACTTGCCGCGTCGTCGCGCGAGTTGCGCGATTGCGCGGTTAATTCTCGATGTGCACCGAAGCAGCGGGAACTCATATTACACCAAACGGAAGCAAAACTCCATGCCGAGTGAGCTCAATCTTTCTGCATTTTAAAGGCAGCTGGCACGATGGTTTCCTACTTAGCCTAAAATGCTTGTAGGGCGCTGTATAGTGGGAAATGGCGCGAAAAAAAAACGGAGTGAAACGGTCAAAATCCTGCGAAGAAAAAGCCTCCGTTCTCAGTGACTTGTAAATCGATTTCGGACGAGTTTCCCGTACGCACCTTGCCAATCACCGCTACCGAAACGGCTGCATATGTGTACCCATATACAGGGGGGGCCAAAAAAAAGTCATTTTGCCTCCATGACTTTCAAGGCGCTATAAGTTACACTTTATTAAATTTTTATCGGACATTTTTACTACCATATTAAAGAGCACATTAAATACTATAATGATACTCCGCCACAGCCTTCTGGAGGAGCGCCATCGAGAGATTCGGCCGCGCGAAAGTGAGTGGGTACCGGAGTTGAGCGAGATCGTTGATTTCTCCGCCACTGTAGACCACCCAAGAGCTCCGCCCGAACTAGGTAATTGAGTGGGTTCAGGTCAGGGGACATATTTCAATATTACATCTTCATCAGGTACGAAACGCCCTTCCATTCGAAGTAGGCGGGAGTTTTTCCAAAACCCTTCGATTCCATGTGGTGGCACCCAAACCTGTAGCAGCACAAGGTCTCCAAGAAGGTACGGGCGACGATGGGATATTCTCCTCGAGTTGCTCGATGTAGCCACCAGCGCACACCCTCAGTCTGGGGCCCACGAAGAAAATATCGGTTCATCCATTCCAGGTACGGCCGGTCCACACCATCAACCCGCGCCTTGGTGAATGGGGTGAAGATGATGTCCTGGACCGTAGCGACGTTGCCGGAGCTGCTCGATGTTTGAGGTCTTGCAGATCAAGAGTACTGGTCTCCAGGTAGCTATCCATGGGTGACTCGTTCCAAGAAGTTCATGCACGCTGTTTGGAGGCCACGTGAATCAAAGGGGTTCTCCACTCAGACCGCGACTGGAGATGACTTCATATTTTGGTGTACATGAAGATGAATGGCGGCAGCCGCTCGACTGCTTATAGAGGAAGATCTTATCTTCCGCCCTGGTACTCATATCCACTTCCTCTGTCTGGGCTGCGAAAACTTCGCTCATATGTGACTCGGCCGGAATGACTTTTTTTTGCCCCCCCCCCCCCCTGTATGCATGCAGCAACACGGCCGCTTCATACATCCCTTGCTTCATAATTGCTCAGCAAATGACATGAAACGCGAGCGTCAGAAACCGTCGTCGTTCGTGGCGGACGGGCAAAGGAATGCGCAGTTTGGGACGTAAAGGTTGCTCAATGGGGGCGTTATAGGGGTACCCTCCTTGGAAAAGGCTTCACGCAGCGCCTGTCCGAGGTCACGGAATTCTGTTAAGCCAGTTGTACAAATCCTACACCTGTATAGCGATTTATCGTGCCAACTGCCTTTAAAGACAGCCCCCGCGATCAAAGTGGCTCGTGGGGCGCCTTCGCTGTGAAGTAGTCTAGCTGCAAGCTAGAGACTGCTTCACCTTTTCGCCGATCTATTGTGAGCGGGAGCTGTTATAGCCGCGCTCAAAAGTGCTAGTCTCAACTCCTTCCCAGTCGGCACCGCCTTAATTGCCTAGATGTCCTCGACGGAGGCCACTCACTTGTTCTTAGTTGGGGCGGCGGGCATTGCTAATGCC